ACTCGTTATACATTAAATTAACGAGAATACACTATTTCATCAGAAGTTGTGATATATAGAGTCAAATTTACGGAAATCATTATTTGATATATAGCCTACCAATTTGATTAGACAATCACTTGCGTGTTATAGCAAAATATTCTTCGAGTCATAAATCATCAATTTCTTCGCCATTAACCACTGACCAAGCACCCAATCTCCATAGGTTATAATAGCCTTTTGACGTTTGTTAAATTATGACATTTTACAATAACTCCTAAATGATGTATTGCTAGCAAATGGGTGGTAGTCAAGCTTGGTGATGTCTTTTCTTGTTGTGTGTCACAGTCAAAAGAAGAACTTTGTCCAACTTAAATGAATATAAATATGTTTGATTAGTCAAAGATCATATATAAACATAGTTACAAATACAAAAAGTACATATATATACATGTTAAGCGTACACCATAGATGGATACCTAGAGAGGGACCCAAAAAAGTATCAATTCATTAGTTATTCAAGTTGTGACACCATTAAACCATAAGTTGGTTGGTTGTTTGGATGCAAAGGCAGGATTCGAACCCACGCCTTTTCAGGCACGACACCTTAATCGAACGACTTGGACCAACTCAACCAACATAAACTTTTGTAATAAATTTAGTTTTAAATAAAACATAAGGACTGAAAAAAAACATTACAATGACACCCTTCAAACAGATATAATTTTTCACTAAAATAGAAGTATGGAACCATGAAAGTAACGAACGTGTAAGCGTATGTCCCACGTAGGCCCACCCCAATTGATACATGTTGGCTGCCATAGGTGCAATTATGCAGGCCAAGTGGAGGTGGAGTAAACATGAATGGAATGTAGAACAATTAAAATTTGTTTATTGGGATACAGCCATTCTATCCTATAGTTGGATGATGGGAAATATCAAAAAGGAATGTGCTTGGTTGTAGGTATAAAGTACACGGGTTTCATTCTCTATCTATTAGTCTTTTCATGGGAATGAATGAATCATTGTAAGGAACATGACATGATACGTTATGAAAAGTTGCACCTTTTAGGCACTGAATAATTATTTTTAATTTACTTGGTATATATAACACATTAGGCAGATCTCGTATCGTTATGGACAAGAATGGTGTTGGGTTCATAAGTAAACTTTGGCCTTGTTAGGCACAACGCATTTTAGGGCCACATGCATGGCAGGTTCTTGGAATATTGCAGTTAAACATGCTTGAGTTGTCAATAGTGTTGTGGCGGATTGGTTATCACTCGGGGGGTTCATAGCGCCCTAACCGAATTCGAGTCTTCCCGTGCGCATGCCTGGGGACATTTAAGTGGGCCATGTTTAGCCCTCAAAATTGTCAAGAATTAGTCGGGGTTTGGCCAGGACATGCTTCCAAAAAAAACATGCTTGGGTTGGAGTAATACCAGGATGGATGACCCCCCTGGGATATTGATATAACCCGATTCGAAATGGATGGTCTCCAAAGAACAAGAGAGGAGATTTAGACTTAACTTTCTCACTTAATACAATCAAGTTTAAACAACATTCCTAACCATCATCCCATGACCTTTTAATTCTCCTACACTTCAGCCAACTACCCACTACACTATTCCTTAACTTACTAGAAAATTAAAAATTAACACATGCAAACTAAAAACCATGCAAATACACGTATCAGATGTCCTTGCTAGATCGGCAGAAACAAATCCGTGAGCCAGTGGATGGAAGTGACAATATTATGTTGTGGTAGGCGGGATGCTACAGTATAATTGGTTGTTACTAATTAGTGGAGGTTATTTGTGTTCCCAACTTATTACTAAAATATTAAATTTTGGGAAATCCTATTTGGGATCAATGTGTATAGGGAGAAAATTATTAGGTAAGGATGCATTTAGCAATGAATAGAGATGCAAATAACATCCCCTAAATCTTTTTGGTGTAATTAGAAGTAGACATATATTTAGAGATCTCCTATTCATATAGCATAAAAAAGATATGTGTTGAAGTTTTAGAGTTTTTTTAAGGTTGGAAGAATTTTGTTTTAGTTGGGATGAGTCCATATTATAGTGTTTCCTTGAGGCTTGAGGTGTGAATTGGAGATGGCTTTGTTATTTTAAATCTTGAATTAGAAATATAAGAAGAGAACTTAATGTTGATGTGATGCTAAAGTTAATAGGAGCCTCTATTCCTAGAAGAATTCATTTAAATAATTCTTAGAGTTGTGAGTAGGGTTGCACCGAGAATGAAAGTTACGATGAGAAAAGTAAGTAAACATCTCCACCTTCGAATCAATCCTAAATTCCTAATCAGAGAGACCACGATCTTTTACACTAAATGAGATAAACTAGATAAATTTCCTTCTTAAGCGCAATTTATATATCCAATATGAGATTAAAAGTGTCAACAATCCAAATCTTTTCTTATGATTCTCATGCAATGATTCGCCTTTTCTTGTAATATGTAAAAGTAATACTTGGCATAAATCCCATATTAGTAATTAAATATGTTAGAAATGCTGGCCATGATAGTCAACACCAATAAGTGTAGGGTAAAAGGCCAACATCTACCAGTTTTTAATGTCTATTACTACCTCTATATATAACAAGAGATCATCACCATATCCTCACAACCATATCCCTTGCAACAAATTGGTGATATGGCTACCCATGGCAACAACACAGACAGAAAGGATAGAAATGCACAGTGGTAATCATCCATGATCAACAAAACTCAAACTTAATTACCAAACACCCAAAACAAAACTTTTTGCTTTTATCTTTTTTACCTTCCAATTATCCAAGACTCATTGCTCCTTTTGATCTTTTCAGGGTTCTCTCTAAAGATATCCCAACTGACATATTGGTTCAAGTTGGTGAATCAAATTTCCCTCTTCACAAGGTATGAATTATGATCATAAATAATGCCAATCTCTAAAATCCTAGAATTAACTAACTAATGATCATTCATGGAACATTGTGATGGCAGTTCATGTTACTAGCAAAGAGTAACCACATAAGAAGATTGATTATAGAATCGGAAGAACCCGATTTGGGAAGGATAAATCTGTCCGATATCCCTGGAGGAGCCGAGATCTTCGAGAAAGCAGCGAGGTTTTGCTATGGTAGGAACTTTGAAATCACGGTAAATAACGTAGCGGCTCTGCACTGTGCTGCAGAGTATCTCGAAATGACCGATCAGTGCTGCGATGGCAACCTCGCGGGAAGGACGTATGCCTTCCTTCAGCAAGTAGCCTTAACGAGCCTCTCCGGTGCTGTTACAGTTTTGAAATCGTGTGAAGATCTTCTTCCCATAGCTGAACAACTCAATATCGTCCAACAATGCGTCGAAGTGGCCAGTGTTGAGGTATCGATCTTCGATAAATTTACATCTCTTACTTTATGTTGTACTTGGCAAACTAGCTGATAAGCTAGCCCGTAGTAGCTGATTAGGTAACTTATGTATAAATTATGTCTCGCAAAAACTAGCTTATGAGTTACGGCTATATAAATTGACCAAAAAGGGTAGCTTAGAATACAATAATTAATATTAAAATGAGTATAATTGGTAAAAACTACAAAAAGCTCCAGAATCGCTACTCCAATTATCGTTTCAATAAGCTAGCTTATGGTCCATAGAAAGTTGTACTAGATTATAAGCTAGCTTATTTTTTTCAAACACAACCTTAATCTCTAGCAAATCGAATTGAATCAAGAGAGTTGAATTAGTATGTATTAGAGTTTGACATTAACTTATAATCTTGTATTACATCTCTTATATTCTCGGGCAAACTACGTTAACTATTAATCTCGGTTTTGGGATGGAATGTCAGTATTAATAGCTTTAATACCGATGAATTTCATATTATTGATAATTAGAAGAAACCGAAACAATTTTTAAATTGTTCCTTGTCGGATTATCCCTATAATCTGAATTTTGTGTAAAGTATCATATTTGAAAAGTGATTTTACACGATCCGTCAACAAGATCCACGCATTCGAAGGTTTCAGGAATAATATCTCGTCCCATTACCAACACAAGACTAACGAATTTTGGATCATGTTCCGCTTTACAGGCTTGTAACGAGGCAAATTCACCTAGTTGTTCACCGCCGAATTGGTGGCAAGAAGAACTATCAATGGTACACATAACCTTCTTTCAACGAATCATCGATTCGATGAATCACGCGGCGCGAAAACACTCGCAATCGCCGGTGCAATCACAACCTATGCCAAGAGAGCATTCCCGACGAACCTCGTCCACGAGCATTCCGTCAACGCCATAAAACCTCCGATCTCCGGCGACTCTCTCCTCCTCCTCCCTCTCGTCCGCAATCAAAAAACAACGAGAACTTCTAGAGTCGATCGTCGCTCTATTCCCTGTCGAAACTCATCAACAACAACCGGTTTTTCCAATCAACTTCTTGTGTAACCTCCTCCACACTGCGATCGCGTTAGAAAGCAACGACGATTGCAAGAAGCAGCTGGAGAAGCGGATATCGGCCGTCCTGGACCAAGTGACGGCCGACGATCTGCTCCTCCTGTCGTACACTACGTTCGGCAGAGAGCGACTGTGCGATATGGAGAGCGTAAGGAGGATCGTGATCGGTTCGTGGCGAAGGAGAGGAGTGTTTCGGTGTTCAGTTCCGGTGATTATAACGACGCTCCGACGTCGCCCGCGATGGTTCGGGTTGCGAAGACGATTGATGTGTATCTGAGTGAAATCGCCAAGGTTGCTGAATTGAGCATTCCAAAGTTCACAGGAATTGCTAATTTGGTGCCTAAAAACGCCCGAGATGTTGATGATGATCTATACCGCGCCATTGACGTATACCTCCAGGTAACTTGATACCCATAAACAAATTACACAATGTCACATATAATTTCTTTGGGTATTCAAAAAAATTATAATTCTTCTAAGAAAACAATGAACAATGCCCGTAGAAATGACACTTTCAGTCGTCTAAAAGGAATGGATTTTCAATCGTCTAAAATCAATTAGGCGTTGGGTCGATGCCCGAGTGGTTGAATGGGGACGAATTGTAAATTCGTAGACAATATGTCTACGCTGGTTCAAATCCAACTCGGTGAAGGGAACCCCTGCAACCCATGAGCATCAGCATCGGTTAGGCCATAACGGATGGTCTAAAGTTGGAATTTGGAATCTTTAATGACTCCTTTTATTTTTTATTTTTTGTATAGACACTTTATTTTTTAGGAACTGTGGTTATTGGAAATTGACATAAATAGTCATTGTGGCTGAGTGAATTTACGTGGTTACCGCAATTGACACTTAAGTAACTTGATAACTATAGGAACTAAATCTTTAATTCATTTCAGTAACTTGCTAATCACAATGACCCAATTTGTAATTTACTTCAACAAGTTGCTAAATATAGTCCAACAACTTGATGAGAAAGTGTTTTCTAAAAAACATGGAAGATAAATGACTAAGATATGAATTTACTATATCAAATTGCTACTTACGTCAATTTCCATTTAAAGTTTGTGTTAGATATTTAATTAATAGTTAAATATTTTCAGTAATTATGTGTTGGACGTTGCACATTTGGTCAAAATCCAGGTAATTATGCAATTAGTAAACATTGTGAACTTCTGATGTCTAGGTTCATCCCGACTTGGATGAAATCGAGCGAGAAAAGGTTTGCAACCCAATGGATCCACTAAAGCTATCGACCAAAGCAAGAGCACACGCTTCCCAAAACAAAAAGCTTCCACTAAAGATAGTTTTGCACACACTCTATTATGATGAGTTACAAGCAAGAAGTGATATCGATGGACGAAACACACCAGGAGCCCAAAGCATGAGACTTCAGGTGCATGCAGATGTAGCTTTGGCAAAAGAAAATGAAACTTTGAAATCTGAAGTATTGAGGATGAAAGCGTATATATCTAATATCGAGAAGCAAGTAGGTACGCCAAGTCCGAAATTGAAAAGGTTAAAGAAGCCTACTTTCTTCTCGTCAATGTCCAAGACTCTTGGAAAGTTAAACCCTTTCAAGCAAGGATCAAAAGACACTTCAAACATCAATAATGATGAAGTAGATCATAACAAGCCTAGGAGGAGAAGGTTCTCCATGTCATAGAGGTGAAAATCATATTTGAATGTATGAACTAATCTTGGTATTTAAATAATTTTTCGAGACTTGCTTGAGTCTATAACAATATTTTTTAGTAAAAATACAAAGCTATGTTGATTCCAAAATATCATGTCGTTTGAAATTGTCTAAAACCGTATTCTTACGCTTTTAGATAAAGGAAAATGTTGGGAACTCGTGAGTTCATAAAATCACAAGAGTAAGGTGTTTCTTCATCAATTGACAAAGTGCAATGGCATTGACAATTTTATTCGTAAGAAGCAGTGATAAAATCAAGATTTTTTTTCTAATAGGGCCACTTTAGCTATATGTTTAAAGCTTAAGTATGCAACTATGCATCTTATATAATATTTAATTAGATAAGACGTTGATAGTTTAAAGCTTTAGTTTTATTTAAATAGCTGTAAAGCTTTGGTTCATGTTCTATTGTGCAGAAATTTTTGATGAAAACCTCTTTAATTTAAGATTTTTTCTTCCCAAAAGGATAACTTCAATAAAAAATTATTGAATACGCTAATCAAATAGCTATATTTAATTAGCCATGCCTTCAAACAAACCTTTGATTCATTATCAACTATTCATGCATTTTATTTGATCGCTCCTTTTGACAAAATCCTAAACGAAATGAAATTATACATATGCATCCCACAAAATCATTTTACCTTTTAAAACAATCATCGGGATTCATAATTAGAAAATAGATCATTTGACCCTGCTTCCACTTTTTGATCACAATAAAAAAGAAGGTTAACGACACCTTGTTAAGTGCACTTCTATCAATGATTTTCTTTTTCAAACACAACATTAAACATTCTTAATGCACGAATAGACCTGATTTTGACGTTAATAGAGGTACCAATAACATTGTCCTAAAATAAATAATACATAAAGTGACATCGTTGTTATTTTATTAATGGAGTATCTTTAAGGTAGATTAAAGGTTTGCAAAGTCTTTTGATGAATTTTGATCTAATTCCATAATTTCGAGGGATTTTTAAAGTTTTTTTTAGTTGATTGGAATGAATTTTTAAGTTTTTGTGTCATTTCAGGACTTTTTTGATTGATTTCGTGAATTTCTTTTTAATTGGCAAGGGCTCAACACGAGAAATTTCTAAGAGGCTATGGTAGAAAGTCAAAAACTTGTTTTTAACAAAAGAAAATATTGTTTTTTTTTAATAATGGGCCCATCCCTTCCCTGTTTAATTCACATACTAACTCTTTCCCTCGGTACACATAATAACATTCAACACAACATCGAGTACATAACAAAAGCTTAAGTACATTACAAACATGACTTGTTTGAATAAAAAAATTAAAATCTTGATCTCCTGAATCCTGATGAATCTTGAATCTTGAATCAAACCCTCAGATGCAGAAAATATTGAATCATTCGTCGATTTAAAAAACCAAAATCGAAATCAAATACACCGTTGTACCTATCCATATGCAAATATAAAACTTAAATCTAAAAACAACAAAAAACCCCTAAATTCGAGAAATGTTTATCGTACCGTATAGCATATACCGGTCCAGGTCCGGTTCGGTTTCTCGATTTCGGTGCCATATGCTCATCCCTACCTTATACAACCCATTATGCTCCTACCGAACAACCCTACGTCAATTAGAGTGAAACACCTCCTTGTTCCTCCACTTTACAACTTTTTCTTGCCTTGTACCGTTTTTTCACAAAATATGTGTGTGTATATATGTATGAAAATAGTTTCACCAAAAATAGAAAAAACAAGAAATAAAGAGAGATGGGAACAAACCCACGTAATGAGTCGAGGCCCGTGTTAAACACAGTTTCCTTAAAACCGATTCGCCCCCTACCGGTGCGTCGATTTCCCAGGATACAACGACTCGAAACAGAATCGAGTTCTGTCGGACTTCACTATGATGCCTGAATTTGAGAATATATGTCTTGGTTTTTCACGTGTGTTTGGCTTTCTATGAAGTTACTTTTCCATATGTGTGTCTCTCTCATATTTTAGCATATCTCTCTCTTTAGAACTCAATCTTTGAGTACTATATATATGCATAACACATATGTAACTCATAGAAGGTTTAAAAGCCAACAATAATGACCCATTATTTCTATGGTTATAACCTCCATTTTTTAAAGCCAACATAATGGAGCATTATTTCATTGTTTTATAACCTCCATCTTAATTTCCATTCAAAAATTCAAACTAATATTAATATTATAAATTTAAACTAAATTTATATTAATATTAATTTTCCAACAATCCCCCACATGAATGGAAATTATCATAGACATCTCATATATCATGATACTCAAATTCAATGTCGGAATCTTGCAAAGGATAGGTAGGCGTTAACCTTTGAACCTTCCCTTATGAAGCATGTCTAGTCTACTAGCAAATCAGTAGACGCGATGTCCTTGAACTGTTTTGCCATTTGTGTAAACATTAACATACTTCACACAAGATTCTTCCTGACATGATAAAGTCCTCATAGTCGTGTTCGTTATGGTCATGAACACTGCCTGGTTCAGAGAAAGCTTTAGGAATGTATCCCCAATAATTCCATTCGAAGCGACCCCACTTCTCTTTCTCATAGGTGATTATCAGTAATCATTAAAAGCTTTGTGCTTATCCTCATTTTTCACTGTCTTAGAAGTTTACTAACTCCCCCCCACAGTGACTCTCCACATTCATACAACTAGGTTGTCCTTTTGAACCCAGATCTTGGGATCTCCAGTCTTCTGGGTAAGGTTTCCTTTGCATGAATTATTAATTCAGGGCTTATGTCTCATTCATCTTAAGGACTTATAAACTAAATCTCTACTTAAACTTTTTGTAAGTGGATCCACAATGTTATCTTTTGACTTTACATAGTCAATCGAGATAACTCCAATAGAGATTAGTTGTCTTATCATATTGCGTCTAATGTAACTTCCCATTATACATTGTACTTTGAGCTCTGCCAATTTTCGATTGGCTATCACAGTGTATACAAATGACCGTTACCGGCTTAGGCCATTTGGGAACATCCTCCACAAACTGACGCAACTACTCTACTTTCTCGCCACATTTATCTAGGGCGATAAACTCAGATTCCATCGTGGATCTGGCTATAATAGTTTTCTTGGACGATTTCCAAGATATAGTCGCACTTCCAAGTGTAAACACATATCCACTTGTAGATCTGGAATCTTTTATATCAGATATCCAATTTACATCACTGTATCCTTTGATTACAGTTGGATATCTTCCATAGTGCAGTCCACACTCTCTTGTGTATCTTAAGTACCTTAATAATCTAGTAATACTCCTCCAATATTCAACACTCGCATTACTAGTGTATCTACTTAGCTTGCTTACTGCGTATGCTAAGTCAAGTCTGGTACAACTCATGAGATACATCAGACTGTCTAGTATTCTTGAGTATTCCACTTTGTGCAACACTATCCTCTCTTATTCTTGGATAGATGTTGACTAGTGTCACTAGGAGTTTTAGTTATACTTGTGTCTCCTTTACAAAATTTCTCAAGAATCTTGTCCACATAATGTGTTTGACTTAACACTAGACTATTTTGAGTTCTTGTGATCTTTATTCCAAGTATCACATATGATAAACCCATGCCTTTCATGTCAAACTTAGATTTCAACATATCCTTCGTGGACCTTATCATTTTGTCATCACCTCCGATGATAAGCATATGACATACTTATTTTAAAAACACTTTCCAACATGGATTGATCAATCTTTTGATGTCATTGCTTTGGAGCCTGTTTTAAGCCATATAAGGTATTAACAAGTTTACACACCTTGTTCTCTTTACCTTGGGCAACGAATCCCTTAGGCTGCTCCATATAAATTTCTTCTAAATCTTCATTTAGAAGATCAATTTTCATATCCATTTGGTGCATTTGCAGATTTGCAATTCCCAACATAAAACTAACGGATGTTAATAATCTAGACTTTCCTTTTGTCTATATCCTTTGATGAA